AGTACCACTGTGTTTGTAATGATCATTAAAGAGAAATGATTTTTTAAAATTATTATGATTATTATTATTATGAAAGAAATCCTCAACGATCAACCTCTTTTTCAGGCGAACACCTGTGCTCGATGTATCAGTCTGACAACTGCCAACCTATTAGAGTAATAAATAGTGTTAGGTTTACAAAGGAATACCACACTTTTTTTACAGATTTTTGTGTAATTAAGCTGAAAGTACATGTACGGTTTCTGTCTTCTATGAGATTTTGGCTGATGCTAATTACTACCGTTCTTCTATACTATAATAAAATAAAACTGAGAAGAATCAGTACATTAAATATTTTTTGGAAAATCTTATTAAAATAGTCATTATTATCGATATCCCGATATACGATAGCCAAAAATATACTTTTTAGAATTTTTGTCTGTCTGTCTGTAATAGCATCACGAGGAAACCACTGGATAGATTTTAATGAAATTTAGTATGATGATAGTTTGTCATCTAGGTCAACATATAGGCTAATTTTTATTGCGGAAAAATATCTCATCTTTGAGAAATAAACTTTAAAACGTAACTAGGGACGAACCTGGGCGAAGCGAGAGTGAATTGCTAGTCTTACATATATTACAATCATAGAGATATCACTGTGTGTTAATTTGTTATTGATTCACATATAAAGTACTCTATGGATTTTAATCAAACTTTGTATAAAGTAGTTCGCGTTGTCTTGAAAAAGATAACTTCTACTTCGATTTTGATATAAATTAGCTTTCTAAGATAGGTATTGTAATTCGTCATCGAGTATAACTTATGTATTATACTTATTTTCTACATTTGTATTCAGCCCTTTTTAACGTCTCACTGCTGGGCACAGGCCTCCCTTCAATACGAGGGGGATCAGGCCATAGTCCACCACGCTGGCCAAGTGCGGGTTGGCGGACTTCACATGTCTTTCGAAAACTTGCTATGTTCTCTCAGACATGCAGGTTTCCTCACGATGTTTTTCCTTCACCGTAAGGCAAGAGGTAATCATGTTAGAAAATGATTCGCACATGAAAATATCAGAGGTACGAGACCCGGGATTTGAACCCGCTTCACTCGGTTTCCCGAGCGAGCGCGATACCACTAGGCTACCACTGCCTAAGGCATTTAATTAACTTAAACTTAAGTAGAAGAGACAGCTTAATTAGGTTTTAGTAGTCTTATGTTTCGATATACTTACTGTAAAATGCATCGGTGGCTACTCCATCTATGTTTCGACGTCATGAAGTGAGTGTCGCTACCCGCTAGTGCCATCTTTATTTAAAACATATTTGGTAGCCATGATACCGCAAGAGATATTTTCTTAATAAGTAATTTTTGCTCTTACTCGAACTTGATATTATCGTGTATATAACATACTATGTCATTCCCAGGGTCTCAACATATTTCCATACCAAATTTCATCTAAATCGGTTCAGCGGATTAAGCGTGAAAAAGTGACGGACAGAGAGACAGACAGAGTCCAGAGAGACAGTCGGACAGTCAGAGCTACTTTATGTAATATTAATATGAATATATAAAACTGGCTTTTTTCTGGTGCTGGTCTATCATCATCGGCTTGGATTGAACGTTGAGAAATAAGACAGTGAGCCGCGACATTGACTTTAATCTATACATATAATAAAATTCTAACTGAGTCAAATCTGTACATTAAATATTTTTTGGAAAAACTTATTGAAATAGACATTATTATCGATACAGATTTTTAATAATATTCTAAAGGTAATACCAAAAAATCACACTTTATTATTTGTCGAATTTAGATCGGTATTTTACACACCTTTAGTACCTGCCAAAGCCACCATAGCCTGAAATTCATAATGGTCCATGGTTCTTATCTGTGTTGAGAGCATGCGCTGACAAACTTTCAGCCTTTATAAAATGATGAAGGTCTGGCGTTCACGGGCTCTTCCTCTATTAAGTTGGCCATATAAATTTTTAAGGACCCTAAATGTTGCCCCGAGTAATAAGTAATCACTACACAAAATTTACTCAAAATCGGCTTAGTACTTTATTAAGAAAATTAAAAGAAAAATCTCATGATATGAAAAGTGAGTGAGTGAAATAATTTTTATCCCGGAAATCATCCGTTTAGGGGGTAAGAATGGGGATGAAAGTTTGTACGGGGAAGCAAGCTAGGGAAGAACCTGAACGAAGCGAGTGTGAGTCGCTAGTTTATTCATATTTTCATATAGATATATAATTTAAATAACAAAGAAAATGAAGTCTTTGTAGCAATATAACCTAAATTACGTAGATCTAACATTTTATAACTTTCTTTTTTGTAAATATTTTTTTTATTCACATTTTTTTTCTTTTTTTTAACAATTTGTTATATTAAATTATTTTTAAACGTATAAGTTGTATATATTTTTGTAATAGCCTTTTAAAAGCCTGCCCATTTGATTGATTCGGATGAAAATTTTATTTTTATGACACACAAATTGGTGCCTCAGATCCGCCATTTTAAGATCAAGACGAAATGAACGACGTATGAATCATCAAAATCGGTTTTAGTAATTACGAGGGAACGTAGGGTCGGACATACATACATACATGTCAAACATATAATCCTCCTTTGGGTTTCGCTGCAGTCGTGTAATGAAAAAGAGAGCTTTTGGTCGCACGTTCACTTTGTCTCTTTCTAAAAAGGGGTCAATTTCTGACATTATTGCTCAGTCTATTATTCTCTAGTTCTCTAGGTCTATGGTATGTAAGGTAGCTATAGATATAGGTAAACTTTTAATAATGGAGAGTAGAGGTAAGGAGAACTGTCTTATATACGAGGCAAGTCAAAAAAGTTTTCACCTGTAAATGGTAAATAATAGTTCAAAAACTTACCAGAACGGCGCTAAGGTAGATAAAGAGTATGATATTATTTTTGTAACGTACAATACGTACAGAGTAAAGACCCCAAAACAATAGATATTAAAATTTTTCGAGGTTTATTCGGGGTGTTAAATAGTCGATAAAATTTTATCTTCTTAATTAAAAATGTCATTTTTAATAGTTTAAAGACGCTATTAATGCGTTCTGACGTTGAATTAATGAAACATTCAAACACTTCCATAGGCTTAATCCCATTATATTGTTTAATTATTATAAATGCGAAAGTTTTGATGATGGATCTTTGTTACTGAATCAAGCCAGAACGTCTGAATGGATCTGGATTAAATTTGGCACAGAGATAAATATAGTCTGGAATAGTACATACAGGACCGGCCTTAGCCATCTGGGCGCCCCGGACGAGTCATGCCTTTGGCACCCTTTTAGGTATACTTATTTCATTACAATTAAAAAAAACGTGTATGTAGAATTATTTATTGAGAGATACGATAAAACGCTGAGTCTAGTTTTCCTTTTTAGATCGCTAAATAAAACTATCTTTTCGGATTATTTCGCGGATTTATTTTGATTTTTGGTTCCTGACGTTTCGAATGCTTTACAGCATCCATGGTCACGGGAGAGACTTAGGTGTTACATATCTTAAAGATATAGTTGTTACAGACAGCCTACCCACAATTAACAAAATGAAAATTGCACCAATTACATTACAATATTTTTTAACTTAAAACATTTATATAATTTTAATTATAATTGAATATGGAAAATTATTTATTTAATTTTTGCTATTATTTTTATAATTATTACAATTTTAAAAATATTAATTAGTAATCTATATTTAGTGTTGCCATTATTATATTTATAACCATAAATAAAAATATAAAAATATAATATTAATTATTAAAGCCATATAATTGTTCTATGTGTAATTTAAAAAGTTAAAATTAATTAAGGATAATCATTTTAATTTAGTTTGCTATTATTTAAAAACAACTTACTAAGCAACACTATTAATATATACTTTTACAAATGAAAAATATTAATCTGATAAGCTGTCATTTTGATCGACACAGTATGAACTTACTACATCTGCCTGTCTGTTATGTTTATATTTATTATTTGATTTTATTATATTAATAACAGGATCCCATGACGATGGTAGTACCCAGCCATCTTCCCTATTGAAATTTGGATGTTTTTTAATTTCTATGGCTTCTCGAATCATTCTAGGGCGATATCGGTATACCGATCTCCCGTGACCATGGATGCTGTAAAGCATTCGAAACGTCGGGAACCAAAAATCAAAATAAATCCGCGAAATAATCCGAAAAGATAGTTTTATTTAATAATGTCAAACATTCGCGTAAATCTAAGAAAGTATTAGATCGATAAAAATAAGTATTCAAATTAAATGGTTAAGTTGAGCTGGCGCACGCGGCGCCCTGTATAACCAACCTGGCATCCCGGGCAGCCGCCCCGGTCGACACCCCCCCCCCTCCCTCCGCCTAAAGCCGGCACTGAGTACATAGGTTTCGTTTTATTTCGAAAAAATGTACATTTCTCGTGGGATAGATTTGTTTTTGATTTTCACACAGCAACCAACGCACCTAGGGACGAACCCAAGCGAGAGCGAGTCCCTAGTCCAAAATAAATTACTAAATATAACCTATTAAGCTACTGTGAGATAATTTAATCCTTATCTAATAACTTTGGCACTTCTTTTATAATTTACCTATTTGATACAGTGGCGCCACCCTAATAAAACGCTTTTCGACCGACACTTTTTCATCACAGAGATAGTTCTCCTTACCTCGACCCTCCATAATTTTGCTGTGATGATTAATAAAATGTCAACAAAATGCTGTCAAAATTGCGTGGTCGGTGACTGATGTAATAGTGTTACTGTTCAGTGACTGTAGCGGTATGTCCATGCATGATGCACAATATTAAAGTATCTTTCTTATTAAAACTGGACATGCAATCACTAGTGATATTCACTATTTCAATAACCTAACAGTGAACAAACGTTATCCGTAATTCGTCTGTGACGTCAATAAATGTGCAATGGGCTCATGAATTTCCGAATCGAACCACGCAATTTCTAAAATTTGATATCAACAATGGGAGGAACTACTTTACCTGAAAGGGTAGCACAGATTTACTATACCTATGGCCTCTTCTGCTCATCATATCCCGGAATTGCAATAACATTAGCTCTTTCAGTTATTCTCTTATGCTGGTAAGTGCCTATTTATTGTCTGATATTAAAAATAATATATATTTTCACTTTATAGTTTTTTTTTGTTTTAAAAATGTATTCTTACTAAGATGTAATAATTTTGCTATACGAATTTACAGCTATCCACTGCTAAATGTGCCATTACCAGGAAATATACCAACAGTAGTAAATTTACATATGAGCAATGAACATACAAAAGCAATGGATTGTATTTCTAAAAATTGCCCTGTAAAAGGTGAGAGATTTTTGTTGTTATATTATTAACTCCTGTGATTTATTCAATACACCTGAATTTTAAGAATTAAATTATCCTTTTTTGCATAATTCATTTATGCATTCCCTATCTAAATAAATTGTAAATAATAATGACAATAAATATTTAGAAATATCTGATACTAGATACTCACTCTGGCTTTGCTCAGGTTTGTATCTAGTGAAAAACAAAAATTATTCCAGGGGACTGTACATTTTTTCAGGATAAAAAGTAACCAATGTGCTATTCCAGACTATAATCTATCTTTGTGCCTTTCATCCAGATCCGCTCTGGTGTGATTTAGTAACAAACTTTCTTCTATCCAAACTTTTACATTTATAATATTTATGGGATTATTAATCCAAAATACTATAAATATCACTACAATAGTAATAGCCAATAGCTATTATATAATATGATTGACATTAACTAACACAGTATTTGGATAAAGCTGAAATATTGTATATAAATATAATTTGTTACAGATTTAATATTTCAATTGGACCAATTGCATAATGAAACACAAAAACTTCCTTATATCTGGGTGAAGGATAAACCCCTATTATATGTTCATCAAATTATTATGAGAATAGGTAAATAATCCAATATTAAATTTATTTAAAAGGATTTATTTTTGCATGCAAAATTTTTATCATTATAATGTGAAAACATTTCCTGTGTATGAGTTTTATAGAGAAACTGCAATATATTTGACTTATGGCTGTTATTCAACACTTACATAAATTAGATATGTTTACGATCACCAGGTATTAATTTTAGTGATGCTAATGTGGGCCATTGCAGAATATTTACAACAACCATACAGCTAAAAGTCTAAAATAAATATTTAAAATAAAAATATTGCTACTTCTGTCCTAGAAAAAGTAAAATAATATAATTGTAATTCCCAATTTTTTTTAACATGAGAATCTACACATTGCTCTTAATTGTAAATGATAACACCACAATAAAATTTGCTTTATTTTATGCTAGCGACTCACCCTCGCTTCGCTCGGGTTCGTCCGTAGCTTGATTCCCCATACAAACTTACATCCCCATTTTCGCCCCCTTAAGGGATGATTTTCGGTATAAAAAGTATCCTATGTCCTTCCCAGGGTCTCAACTATTATAATATTTTAGTATAGATATACAAAGACAACCGGGGCTCCTATTTCAGCTATCACTTGGGAATAAAAAGGAAAACACTATAACATATTAAGTGAAAAAAGTAAAAAAAATAATACTTAAAAAATGCATGGAAGTTGATGATTTTGATTTATTTTTATTATTATTTTTTAGCTGCCACTTCTAGTGTACTTATACTAGGGAGTGAATTTACGATAGCTGACGTGCGAAACATTGGCAAATTAGACACCTAGATCCTTTAAAAAAATAAAATTAATACTAACTAAATCGACTTTGAGTCATTGAATATCTATGATATCCTTTGACAAAAGCGATAATAGCTATAGTTAATGCGAAGTTCGTTTTTATTGTCAAGTCCTTTGTGCCACGATTATCGTCCTCGAAAAGTTAGATGCGGACGGACTAAACTATGTCCTTTAATAACCACTCAACGTGTGCGTATTACTTGGATGGGTTTCGCAGGTACTCGTCACATACTTGACTGGTCAAATTAGAGATTGAATAAAATCTAAATTTGCCAAATACTTGATTTGTCAAATTCTTGTGTCGTCAAATTAGTTTGTAGTCATTCACATTTTGTACAATCAAGAAAAAATTGAAATCACAAGAAACAAACATAGTTTGATTAAAAATATAGTTTTGAAAAGTATAGTTTTTTTATTATTTACTAAAGATAAGATATTAAAACAAAATTTAGATGGTATGCGTATGTATGTACACCTACTTTTGTAGGATACCTGTGATTTTAAGTAGTAAATCGATGACTTTTACATCATGAACCAAATGTTATTGAAAATTTTAAAAATCCCAGAAATAAAAACATCCATTTCAGTGGCATTCTATGCGTTAATAATTTCATATTATTATTAAAATTTCTAATACTAAGCGACTGTAGAATGTCATTTTCTTCAAGCTCACAGTCTTCCAGAGTTCCGTACTTAGTGCTATGTGCATTCAATCCTTTCCCTCGCGGGTGGGCTTCTTCTTCTTCACTTCACATGTCTTTCGAAAATTTGTTAAGTTTGTCCAGACATGCATGATTTCCTCACGATGTTTTCCTTCACCGTAAGAGTGGTCATGTTGGAAATGATTCGAACATAAAAATATCAGAGGTGCGAGACCCGGAATTTGATACCGCTTCACTCGATTACCGAAGCGAGTGCGTTATCAATAGGCTACCATTGCCTAAGTGCTTGAAAGTAAATAAATCTCTTCGTAATCTATAATTAAATAATATTATAAAGAAGCCGAGTTTGTTTGTTTGAACGCGCTAATCTCAGGAACTGCTAATCCGTTTTAAAAAGTTCTTTTTGCATAGCAACATTCTTTTTGCAGAAGGCTATAGACTATATCATCATACTACAACCCAAGGGAGCGAAGCAGTAATCATAAATGTCCACAAATCAGGCAGACTTCCACGCATTATTGTAAAACTTTCAAAAAAAATAATCAAAACCGACTTCAAAAAACACTAAAAAGTAAAAAATAACTGGTTGGTAGTTTTTGTTTACTATACATTTGTACGTACACAAGAATTTACAACTAAAGCTCGTTCATGTACGCACCCAAAAGTGGGCCCAATCGCTGTCGACGTGCCGTACTCTTTGTAAGTTTATACGTAAGATTCACATTTAGAGGAACATTCGCGTTGTATTGAAAATGTAGTAGGTAATTGCGAATCATAGAAGAGCAAAGCTAAACCTCGCCGATTACCGATCGGAACGTAAATTTAGTATCTAGTAGGTACCTATCTACATATTATAATGTTTCGGTTGTGAAAGCTCTATTAACAGTTGAATCAAATTATAAGTTCCACGCTAGGATCCTAGTAATAATAATGTTAATATTTTATAGCCTCATGAAACTTGATTTTACTATCTATAATTAAATAAAATGAAAATGTACTTTGAAATGTTGATAGGTGTATCGCCTTGGAACAATAATTTGAAAATGTGGGACGCTTTCCGAGCTCCTTTACAAGAAGTATTTCGATTACTAGAAACTGTTCGAAACCATGAAGATCCTGAAACGTAAGTTATTACTTTAATATAAATTAAATATTTAATTATCTTAATTTTAATATTTTTTATTATCACTACTTGCTCGCTCTTAAAATCTGTACGTTTTTGCACTGCGATTATTAGGATATTGTCCTTATAAAATATAATTTTATCATAAATAATAATAATATTACTTTTTTATTAAAATATATTCTATAAATCATATATAATGAAATAATTTTATTAAAAATTTGCTTGATTTTATCAGGGCTTGGAACCGATTTTAAGTTTAGTAAACCGAAATAATAATTCTATTCTACTCAGCCCTTTTTAACGTCCCACTGCTGGGCACGGGCCTCCCCACTCACTCCTCTATACTAGGGGGATTAGGCCAAAGTCCACCACGCTGGCCAATTGCGTGTTGGCGGACTCCACATGCTTTCGAAAACTTGTTAGGTTCTCTCAGACATACGATGTTTTCCTTCACCGTAAGGCTAGTGGTAATCATGTTAGAAATGATTCGCACATGAAAATATCAGAGGTTTGAACTCGCTTCACTCCAAGCGAGCGCGTTAAGTAAAACTGGGCTACCACTGCCGTAAATAATAATGGTTAGAGAAAAGTTGGATTTCGGTTTTGATACCGAAATAGACTGGTTAATTCATTCATAAGTAAAAAACATACGTGCATCTTTCTAAAACCGTTCTCCTGGATTAAACCGGTTAAAGAACGTAACCGAAACCTTAAACCGGAATGCCTTTTGGAATTCCTTTCGGTTTAAAAATTTCATTCCGATGTAATAACTATCAATACGGTTTTTAATAGTTCTTATAAAGTGTATTACATAGCGACATGTTAATTGTTATTTTTATATTTAGTATGTGATTTTAATTTATATTACATAATTTATAACTGTATTGTTAAGTATTTTAATTAATGCATCCTCTTTATGATATAACATTTTTTATTATAGTTATAAAAGATGTACTGTTTCCTATTAGATGACTATTATGTTTAATTAAACCGATTATAACGTCAAAGATCATGGATAACTTAGTGTGTAGATGCTGTTGTGAAAGATATTTTTATAATAGTTAATTATCTTTTAAAGATTTTTTCTCTTATTTTTTGACGTTTCGGACGAGTTTAAGCAACATTTTATATGATTAATTTTCTATCAATTTAGTAAACAATAAGACGATAACGATAACGCTATTAATGGCGAAAGATAACATTATATTACAAGCATCAGGTGAACAAATTTCGTATTATTAATAATTTGTTATATGTCGATGGCGCCTTAGCGACTTTTTTTAAAGTGAATTTAAATTTTCCAATAATGTTATTGTACAATGATTCTTGTTTGGTAAAATTTTTGTATTATTTAATAGATAGATCGTGTATAGTTAACTTTTGACTCATAAACAAAAATTTATAACTCTTCTGACTTTATTAAAGTTCCTGCATCAGCGAAAACTGATTACAAATGCTTTTAATAATAATGAGAGAATTGAATGACAATAATAATAATAATTGTTTTTATTGGGAACAACAACGACATTTATTTTATCGAAAATTTTCCTTTGACATTTATTTTATCGAAATGGATTTGATTTTTTTGCTATTATTAATTTATTGTCAGAAAGCGAAGTGAAATTGAGTGCAATAATATTGCGAAATTGTTTTTAATAATATTTATTTACAGGTTATTTTCAATTTCAATATAGTTCAACGAAGTTAAGATTGAAATAATTGTTTATATTAGCTATAGTAGAATTTTAAATTATTTATTAGAATTAATTAAAATAGCCAACTCTTCTGCCAACTAAGAAAATGAAAAAAATGCTAACATATTCGGTGGAATACATTGTTGACAGAAAGAAAACTTTATTGGAACACTGTTACCAAATTGAGGGGATCAATCGGCCAACCAATAAAGAAAGCCTTGAACGTGTCCTACCTGAGTACAGCTGTCTCCTTCTCTCGCCGGCTAATCTGTGGCAACAGAGCCTACAATCATTCTCACTAGATGCTAACATTATTAATACTATTTATACCTATCAGGTAAATCATATTAAATACACACTTCTTTAAATATTTTAGACACTATGATTTTTAGCTTTATACAGTTTTTAAAAGCTAAATAAAATATTACTTTAACCAAATAGTCCGTAAAAATTTGTGAGGTTGTAGGGTTTAATCTCTGGATCTACTGAACCGATTTAGATGAAATTTGGTAAGAAGATAGTTTGAGACCCTGGGAAGGACAAAGAATACTTTTTATCCCGGAAATCATCCCTTAAGGTGGTGAAAATTTACATGAATGTTTAATTTTAGTAAAGTTTTATTAGTAATGTTCTATATGTTTATTTCTCTGTAAGAAAAATTGGATGACATAGGAGTTGTATTGGGAAGCAAGCCAGGGACGAACCCGCTAGTTATAATATATAATATTAATGCCACTATTTATGTATGAGTGTATGTTTGTTAATTTTTCACGCAAAAACGGCTCGAAGGATTTAAATGAAGTTTAGTATCCAAACAGACTGTGACCTGGAGCAACATAATATAGACTACAATTAGGAAACCAGTGATGCACCCTATGTGCCATGTAGGCTAGTAATAATACAATGATTACTGCAGAGTCTTCAAAAGGGCAAGGCGTCTATAGCGGAAATGGCTTTTGGCATGCACATGCGTGATGCGGGCGTCAAGAGGTACCCGCTGCGAGCTCGCGCCCGTATACTTCAATACGCTGTAACAATATTCTATGAACATGCAGACCAACAGTGAATATCAATCATAACCATCACTATATAACTAAGTTACCCTTCCCGTATATTTTAACAGTTTTTTTAATGTTTTATCTAAGACAATTACTAATGTTTTAACTTTTAGCTAAACTGATATCAAATATATCTTATGACTCAAACAATCAAAATGATTCATAGCTCCTTATCGATTTTTTTTATTTAAAATATCATATATAGGTAGACCTTTTTTTCAATTTTTACTACTTATAATTATTTTTATTAAATTAAGTTAAATATAATATTAAATTAAAGTAATGAATTTAAACTTTTTTTAATATAGATAATAATAAGTATGTTTTTCTATTAAATTTTCCGATAGAGAGTACCTATTCAAAAAACGAAGTCAAGAAGAAAAGGACTATATATACGTCGTACTATAAATATAATAACGGTTTCATATAGGTTCGCGTTTATATTTGTTTTTTTTTTAATGTTGTATGACAATGCAATACCTACTATAGTTCGATCTTCCAGTACTTTCGCTGTGATGTTACAGAGGTACTGCCCGAAATCAATAATGCTTGCAACAATTTATTGTATTTACATTACAAATTAATGAATAATTAACTTTTGTAACAGTTTATTATATTTTAGTTTATCATATTTTATATTTTTTTCTCTTGATGCACTTGTATCCTAAGTATATTCTGCGTGTATTTAGGAAAATTTAAATCCAATTTAATTTAACCTAAATTCGTCCGTCAACTTCTGTTACCCCAGGTAACTAGCATTTTTGCGCAAAACTTTATTTTAATGCCATAATTTTGTTAAGTTTTTTATGCCATTTAATTATAATTTCATAAAAAGACGTAAATACCAACCAACTTATTTGTTTTACCAAAATTCTTCAAATTTTTTAAAATTAATAAACAACTTTTATGTTCCTCCTGTAAAATTTTGTTTGTAAGTATATAGAAGATCTCAGAAGTTCACGGACGATATATTATAAATAATACAGTATGTAGGGTCTTTCTCTGAATTCTTGTAAAGGTTAAAATTTTTATTTATAACACGAAAACTTTTGAAAGGATTTGGATGAAACATGAGACGCAGATACATAGATACACATAAATCAATAGTAGCAAAAACATACGCGTGCAGCTGCGGACAGAAACTAAACATGTTCTATATGTTAAAAATCACATCACACTTTTTGTGTAGTTCTCTTGCGAAACCTGAATCTGATTTCGCAATGTTATAATTTTTGTACCTATTCAGTGATAATACCACAGGTACTAAGTAGTTAATAAAAAATATTTCTCATAACACAATGCAAGTACCTTGCTAAAAAGAACTATTTTGCTTTAATTATAATAGTACATAGGTACTAACTACATAACAATGTAATTGAAACATTTTTACAATAATTTTATGATAAAAAACAAATTGCAAAATTGTCCTTTTGTTTATTACTATGCCTATCATTTAATTTAGTTTTATTATTTTTTTCAGATTTATTAATTCACTCTCTAAGAAACTCCGAGAAATGTATCCACTGTATCAAGACACGTCACAAGCGTATTCCGATGAAGCCACTCTGATTTATTATCCCGGACAGTTTAACTATCACGAGCTAGTGCCACTGATGTTTACATTTGTGGGGCTTTTTCTATATGTTTATTTCTCTGTAAGAAAAATTGAATTTATAAAGTCCAAGTTTGGGCTGGCAGCTTGCGCCGTCCTCACTATAGCGGGAAGCCTGTCCATGTCGATGGGCATTTGTTTCTATTTCGGATTTTCCTTGAGCTTGCAGGGAAAAGAAATATTCCCCTATCTCGTGGTAATCGTCGGGCTGGAGAACGTACTAGTGCTCACGAAAAGTGTTACATCAACCGATTCGAGACTTGATGTAAAAATTCGCCTCGCTCAAGGCTTAAGCAAAGAAGGCTGGTCGATAACGAAAAATTTATTGACAGAAATCACAATTCTTACCGTCGGCTTTTTTACATTTGTACCGTTTATACAAGAGTTTTCAATATTCATGATCGTCAGTCTCATTTCGGACTACTTTATGCAAATGGTGTTATTCGCAACCATATTAGGTATCGACGTCCGGCGTATGGAGTTCTTTCCTGAGCAAAATACTAAATTGCACCTAAAAGAGTATTTTAACGCGAACAACGCCCTAAACTGGCGCTATAATAAGGGTTATTCAGAGGAAAATAATTTCTCACCACACAGAATGACTAAATCGAAGTCACACCCCAGGTTGAATGGTTTGACACAAAATAATCCGACAGACGTGGTGGCTAAGAGAACTTCTAGTCCGGGAAGTCAAGACAGAGTGCCGAAACGAATAAGACTCGTTAACATGTGGGCTAGGACTCGCTTCTTTCAAAGAGCTTTTATGGTGTGGATGCTAGTTTGGATATCCATGATAGTATACAATTCGGGTGTTGTCGATTATTTCATTGCAACAGTAGAAAAATCAGACCACAATGTAGATAGACGCACAAATTTTAATGACAGAAACAATACAAATCAAGAAATATATATGATTTTCAACAATAGTGGTCGGCAGCCTTTAGTATTTTCACCGTTGTTGGAGACAAGCGGGAATGACAAAGTAGCCGTCGATGCGAATGATACAATATTTCTAAAACATTCTTCACATTATCGTCCTTTCTCCAGGTAAGCATATGTTTCGAATACAAAATTTACTTTATAACAAGCTATATAATGTTCTATTTTAATTCTGCTAATTAAAAATTAAACAATTACTATTACTTATGTCATTGATGATAACATATTTCTAATCCATCATAACACTAAGCACCACAATAACGTAGTTTTTCGACTTTTTCATCCTAACTATAGACCCTATACGATTAGTTTGATAGGATAGGGTCGGTTTATTTGTAGCAATTAGTGGCACAGATTTTTTTTTGTTTTTATTTTGAAGTTATACATACTACTTTTGGGACGCTTGGAACAAATTAGGAGAGTAAAATTTTTACGATACGCGCACACACCGACAGTCAAAAAGAGACATGATGAAGTTATCTGAAAGTGACATGATGAAGTTAGCTGCATTCTTTTTACTGAGTGTTGTGACATACGGAATGAAACGTTTAGCTATTATTGTTCTGTTACGCCAATGAAGTATAACTTCTTACGTGCGTACATAAGTACGTACATTTATTTTAGCAGTTGTTTTTTTTTAACCTTCAATGTATTAATACAATCATATTTAAGGTAATTTTCTACCACATCCCGTTCGGTTTTTTCAACCCTGTATGTTTTCATGGAGGTTTTCCCAAAAAAATCCTTAGCATGTCCACGTTTGCCTTACGAAGCGTAAAGAAAGGAAATTAGATCAAGCGCTGAAACAAATGTTTATTTAAAATACATTTGCTGTAGGAACATTAACACACCGCACCATCTAGTTCCATGATAAGCTACAAGGCTTGTGTTATGGATACCAGACACTTGATACGCTATACATATATAACTTTAAATACATACATATTATAAATATAAACACCCATGACTGGAGTACAAACTTTCGTGCTCATCACACAAATGAAAACCCCAGCAAGACTCGAACCCGCGACCGCTGGCACAGCAAGTAACGTCACTACAAAGTGAACCAAACGTATCGTCTAAAAGAACTGTACTGAGTCTGTTCTATTTGATGCTGTCTAGTACTTGTCAATATCGCTGAACTTAAAATATGTCTATTAATTTTCTGAATGCGAAAGAAGTTATAATAATGTTGAAATAGTTACCAACAGTTGATTGTGACTAAATACCGTTGGCTCTATCTTGTGGAACTCCTTCTCCGCTGTTACTTTTACTTCATATAGTGCTTTGCTTTTTGCATTTAAATAATAAAAAGGCACGTACGTATTCTACCTGCGTATTTAACTTAGCATCAAGAGATGACACGCGAATAAAAAATCTAATCTTCGCGTTTGCAACATTAGTTAAGTTGTTCAGTGTGTTATAATGTATTTTATGCGAATAAATAATAATACATTGTTTGATTGTGCTGTCACGACGGTAGACGTGTCACGTGATACGTTTGATAGAACAATTTGTCTTCGCTTCGAGGCGGCCGCTTGCTATGTAAAAAACAATTTTGCAATTATAAGTGGCTCTAGCAATTGAAGATGATTGGTTAAATGCGTAATGATCTCAATATAGATAAGTCGAGCTATTGAGAGTTATCTGGAACAGATGGAAATCGCATAACTTGTTTAGTTTCATTTATACTTGTATATAGTGGAACCCAGCTTGTGCATTGTTTTACAGATTTATCTGAGAAGTTATATTTCAGTAAAACTTTTAGGTAAACTGTCTGTGTTACTTTGAATGCACAAGAGAGTAATATACGGTTTTGTATATAATAATACTGTATTAGTCAAAAATAAAATTATATGACGCTTACTTAAATAATATAAAAAAAGGATATAATTCCTTACTCTAATTTGCATTTCTTTATTTTATATATAGTATTATATATATATATATATATATATATATATATATATATATATATATATATACAACAATATAATCGATGTATCCGTATCTAGGATTGCACATTGGAACTCATTAATCATAAAAAAACAATTTAAGTATGATAGCTAATGCTTCTTATATTTTTATATGTATATCAGTAATAGCTTCTATTCTTATCAGTAGGTAAGATACAAAAACAAATATTGAAAAATATTCTATTTTGTTTCCTTATTGTATTCATTCCGGGTAATTAACATAAATACATTTGTGATCTACAAAATATCCTTTTATTTGCCATTGACACTATACCAGTTTTAGTTATAAAACTAGATATTGAAGTATGTATATTAATTATATAATTTTAAATATCTGTTGTTTTTATATGACGTGTTGATATATAATTTTATATTACATAATGCAATTTATTTACTAATGAAGAGAAAGCCAAAAACACTAAATAAATATTATACGAAGCATTTTTTTAAATAACCAATCCATAATTTTATACGTGTACTAGCGATTACTCTCGTTTCGCTCGGGTTCGTACGTTCTAGGTACGTTCTAACGTTGGTATGGAATAGAGAGACTTATATATACATAGGTATGGTGAGTTTTATATCTATTACGTGATGAATAATTGATTCCCTATGCAAAAATCCATCCCATTTTCACACCCTTAAGAGATGATTTCCGGGGAAAAAACTATCCCATGTCATTATCAGGATCTCAAACTGTGTCCATTTCAATTTCCACCTAAATAGATTCAGCCTTTTAGTCGTGAAAAGGTAAGAAACAAACAACAGAGTTACTTTCGCATTTATAATATTAGTATGGATGGATGATTAATAAAAACCTTAACCTTAAGTTACGTATTGGGTATGTGAAATTATTAAATATGTACGAGTACATCAATATGATTAAAGCACTAAGAAAAAATATCATCAAATATTTTTCTGATATGTTTAAGAGCAAATGTTGTTAATTTAGTTCTAAATCATTATGACTAACTTCTAATATAAATTTTCATATATAATCTGTTTTCGCTCGATTGTTTAAATTCTACTTTGTTTCCTAGCAGGATGAATCATAAATAATATATTTTATTAATTTAACTATTCGGTGATGAATATAATGTTATTTTATATTCAAAGTTTGTCCACCCTATAGAGAGATAACCCATGTCTTCATACGAACAGCCTATTATAATTATTTTGGTGCAATCATAGTGATTGATTCTGGACGTTGATGAATCAACCATGATAAGAAACTTGATTTCTCGTATATGTAATATAGGTAAGTGTTTATTGTTTCAGGCTATCCCCAAACCACTGGTCAGCTATCCTCTCTCAATACAACGAGTCGGTAGCGGGCAGGTACGTGGTGGTGCTACCGCCGGTGCTGGTGAGCCACCGCGTGGGCCCCGAGCTTGCGGCCGGGCTGAGACACCCGGACGAGCGAGACCCGCCGCCGTTACGATGGCAGGCCCTGGCAGCTGCACTCGATCCTATAGATATATTACCAGGTTTAATGACATAAATATTATTAGAATTTTTAGTATAAGCACCATCTACTTAACCATACAGTCGTCTAACAAAGGCATCTAGAGAGGTAATAGAGTAGGCGCGCAGAGATGACGCAGGTTATAATATTGGCTCTCCCGATTGTTATATTTACTTTTATATGACAGTCGGAAATTGCTTTACGATTGATGGGTATAACTTGCCAGAAGATAGTTGTACTACTAAATGTAATTCTTTACTGTGGTATAAAGGCTCCATATATTGGAGGCAGCGATAGCCCAATGGCAACGCGCTAGTTCGGAAAACTAAGTGAAGCGAGTTCAAAAAGTTGAAACCTTGAGTATTGACCCTCTGATATTTTCATCTACCAAAGATTTTTGACTACTTGCCTTACGGTAAAGGGAATAATTGTGAGGAAATCGGCGTGGCTGAAGGAGCCTAACTAGTTGTCGAAAGACATGTAAAGTCCGCAAACGCACGGTCAGTGTGCTAATCTATGACCTGATATCACGTATTCATGGGAGGCCCGCACCCAGCAATGGGAAGATAAATAGGGCTTAATACATACATATATCGAAAGCAAGAAGCCCTTAAAGGAACTCGCATGTTCGTCTACCCTTGACCCGCCTGCCAAAAACTGTATTCGACTGAAAGTAAAATATTAATTTATAGGTGGATAATTGAAGAAAAAAAACATTTTAAGAGCATTATCTGACAAATCAGCAATCAATTGCCTTGAAATACAATATATTACGTAAATATGAGAAGATCTAGCAATCTTTTATCTAATCTCCGAAACGACTGGACTGACTTTGACGGAACTTTCACTGGCACATAGCTGATTTGATAGCAAACGCTACTCTTCAAGCATCGTTTCTATATAAATAAAGTGTAAAATTGATCCCGAAAAAAAGCTATATCTAAATAGCAGCAAATTAAAAGCTTATTACAATTGACATACAAGTATGTAACCATTAAGGAAAGATTATTTTAAATAAAACTTTTGTACAAAACAACTTATACCATGAATTAATTAGTATACTTATATCAATATTAGTATCTATATTGAAGATGAGATTCTCCTTTTATTTACAGAGTTCGATTTAGCAGACATAAATCCATCTCATCAATGGGGAAAGGGAGCGGAACTACCGATTTATCCTACTACCCCTATGGAGATCCTTCTCCTAGCTATCCTCTGCACTATAAGCGTTGCCGTCATTGCTTATATGATGGTTGTACTTTATAGGTATGTATTAACTTTCAAATAATGTAGAGCCTTAAGATATACATAAGTACCTTGGCGACCGAACTTCGCGCGACATTTTGTAGAGACGCTCCGCCCGCGTTCAGTTGACCAAAAACGAAATTCTTAGGTTTTCATATTAGTATACTCTTGCATTGTAGTTTTTGTATAAGTTTTTCCAAAAAATATTTATGTATAGATTCGACTTAGTTACAATTTTATTATATTAAAACCTTTCTATTAGGTAAAAACATAAAAGTATATAATATTATATTAGTACAGATACAAACTAGTGAAATTGAACATGCATACATCAGACGTTTTAAGTGGTGCTATTTTACTTGCATGACCATAAACAAGCAAATTATTGGCATAATTTACTAATAAACTTGAATATCTCTACAGATGCGTGTGCTCACGACATTACGCGGAATGGCGCGCTTCATGGAATGACGATAATGAATATAAGAAGATTATAGCGAAGCAGCCAGCCGTTCAGGTGATATGACTCTCTATTTCATTTGGTAAAACGACATTTACATGTGTGGCGTGTAAAATTATATTTAAATGTAATTTTACACACGTGTAAAATAAGTTATATAAATGTATACATTATTAAGAAAGGGTTTTAAAAATCTTTAAAATCTTTATCATAACCATAACTCATTTTTAAAATTGCCTGCTCATATTATGTTTTTTTTTTGTTATTGTTTTATTATGTTCTGTTAGAGTTTAAGTTTTGCTTTTTTGTGTTTTTTTTTATTTTATAATTTGATTTTATTTATTTATTTATAATTTTGACTTAGTATTTTTTTTGTTGTCCTTTGATAGTGTTTTTATTTTGCAGTAACTTTTGTTAAAATGTTTATTATATTGTTTTAATGTTTAAACTAATCATATTTATTCTACCTGTGACATATTTATAGGTGGAAACTTTGCTGGTGTGTGGATGTTTTAATTTGTAATTATTTTTAAGAATTATCTCACTGTTTGTTTCCCAAAAATTAATAAATAAATAAATAGAATAATGATTATATATAATTAAATACGGAACACGAATTTGCAACAACTTCAAGTTAAATTTTATTTTATTACTAGTTAAGAAGCACGTAACTCGCCTAACACGTATTCCACAATCTACGCGCTTACAATATGAAAACAAATATTATTTCACCCGGTCACTCTTGATATTTTATTATAAGTTCTTTACCACTTTCATTCTGTACCTTCAAACTAAACATTTGGATCTTTAGACTAGGAATTAAATGTGTATATTATTAAAACGTTTCGACGAGATGACAAAATGGTAGGGAATCTGTTTTTGTCATCAAGTTGTGGAACGTTACTTGTACAATATTAACTATGCATATACACAAACTTAACCGTGAATTATTTTATTAATATCGGCACATAATCTGTATATAAATATTATAAATGTGAAAGTTTGTGAGTATCGATGTTTGTTACTCTTTCATGCCAGAACGGCTAAACGGATCTGGATGAAATTTGGCACAGAGATAGATTATAGTCTGGAATAACACATAGGCTACTCTTATTCCGGAAAAATATACGGTTCCCGAGGGATAGATTTGTTTTTCTGCTAGTGATTCATAATTTTAATTTCAACATTAACATTGTCGATAATCTTTCAGTTGGTCATGGAAGCTGTGCCTTTAGTAGTGGCAGGGCATAGTCAAGAGGTCGAATGTCTCGTGACAGACGGTGAGAAAGTTGTCAGTACGTGCTTGCAAGGCAACATAAAAGTCTGGGACTCGCTGAATGGCGAAATAATAACCAACATAGATCGTTCCGCGTGAGTAATATAATCTATAAACATAATTATTAATATTGTAAACTAGCGATTTACACTTGCTCCGCTCTGGTGCTTACGTTTTAATTTTTATTTGGGTAGTAGGTACGTTTTATTTTTTTGGATCGGGACCCTAATTCTTTTTTTTAAATAAAAGTAGTCTCAGTTACTTCTTATAACATCAGCTATCTGCCACCGAAAGTTCCGTCAAAATCAGTCTAGCTGTTCCGGAGATTAGCCGGAACAAACAGACAGATAAACAATTTAATAATTATGTTTTCTTATAAGTACCATAATAAATAATTTAATTATTATGCATTTAACAAACATACATACAGACAAAAAAATTAAAAATTGTGTTTTCTTTATAAGTATCATATGTAATTTCATATGCATTTTGCATACAGACGGATAAACATTTTTAAAATTGTACTTTTCTTATAAGAATACTGTATATAATTTCATATGCTTTTAGTAACACTTATTAGTAAGCTTGTTATTTTAACATTTCAAACAGACACTTCAATTTTATTTATCTTTATAGATGAAAATGTTTTGGTTCGTGGTGGTTCCAAAAATTATTTATCGTAATATCCTTGGTACCACATATCTATATATAATTTCAAGAAATTCTTTCTTTACATTATAGGCATAGGTAGTTCGGTGTAGGCATTTTTCGGATCTGAGGCTTTTCTTAGCTATCATATACATGATCTTAAAATATTTGTACATATACACTTGGGCTAAACAAAGAAAATTAATAAAAAAAATCATTTTTATGAATTTTCTTTTTTTTTTAATTTGAAAGGATGAATATTTCACATGATATAGATATATGGATGAGAAGGAGAGAGACAAAATTTAGTAGCAAATTCTTAAGATATTTAAAATAATAATGTCATATTAATAATATAACTATTATTATTTTCAGATACTTTAAACTCCAAATGGAATTGTATGATAAAGTTAACTCCAAAAAGATATCTCCAGATGAACAGCAAATTAGAATTGAATGCAAGTATACCAAATATTTTATATTTCAATGTACTGATGATATTATTCAATATTTTTAGTTAAGACGTTTGAAGGCATTGTAGTGATTGATCTTATTTTTTTATAGCATGCCATTGTTCAACTGAAGTGCCACAAGCTAGTGAGGTAAGTAAATATATTTCATATAAAAATATATTCACTTCTTATTCTTGGTTATAATAATATATCTCTGTAACTTAGATATTCTTTTGTAAAGTGAATAAAATATTCTTAAAGCTTATAGATATTTACAATATTAATATTATTAAATATGTGTTATTATGTATTTGTTATAGAATGTTCCCCGACTCAGGAGAGGCTTAAGTAATCACCTGAGCAACATACGTTTTAGAACTAACAGAAGAATTAGCACAGATTATCTCTCGCCTGCTGAGAATACTAAATATGAATTTGCTAAAGCCTACAGGTAAAGTATATTTTTATCTTAAAAATCATTTTTCTTAATACGAATATAAAAAACTAAATAAATTTATTAATTTAATAAAAGTACTTATGAATTAATAATTTATATAGGTACTGGAAATTTTAAACATCTAATGGTAAAGTAAATTTAAATACTTTTTAGAGATTATATTCGAAACTTAATAAAAACTACAATTTTAAATATAGAGTTAAAATAGAACATTTTGTATTCGTGATATTTACTTTAAGAGGTAATTTTTCAAAAAAACTGTTATCTGAAAATTATAACAATAGATATATAAATGAAAGAGACTGATTATTTATAAATAACTTGAACCAGATTTTTGAATAATAACCCTGAATTTATTTGTCTCTTTATATTTAATTAATAAATCTAAAATATAAAATGCTTAAATCAATATATCTTACCTTATAGAGACTTGTACTACACAGAGGCTATAAGCAAAGATGACTTGAACGCAGCAAGAAATGACAGTAGTGTTAGTGATGATAGTTGTAACTCATGTGACAATTCTGTAAATAGTTTAAGAAATAGGGGTGGATGTAGAATAAGTGGTAGAACTAGTAGTGATGTGAATAGTGAGGACTGTAAAGGGAGGGCTATGTCTGAATCTCCGGTGTGGTGTATGGACTTTTGCAATGACCTCATCATACTTGGTTGTGCCGATGGCAGGCTGGAGTTCTGGGAAGCCAGCACTGGCAAATTGCTGGTAAGTTAATTATAAAAAAAATAGATCTTTGCTAAACTAATTCACTACATCATTTTTGCCAATTAAAATTGTCTCAATAAATAAACATAAAACTTTTCAAGAATTTTTTCAATGATTATTGTGTCTATCTACTTAGGACTGCTATTTTCAATAACATATAAACCTTACGCGAATATTTTACAATTTAAATAAATGTGTCTTTTTAGTTTTATTTGGACGTTTTGTTCCCCATGTTTCCATTATTTACAACAATAATGGTCACAATAACAATAAATCTGTCCCGTCAAATCTTTTTACAACAGCTTTTATTTAAAACTAGCGGCTCACCCTCGCTTCGCTCGGGTTCCGCTTCTAGACAAACAAAACCAAATATATTCCGCGGGAACCGTACATTTGAGATAAAAAGTATTTGTTATTCTGATGTATGAACTATGTTATTGTAAAGTTTCGTTAAAATCCAATCAGTAGTTTTTGTGTACTAAGCTGTATAAGTTACTATAGTTTTTTTTAACTATCCCACGGGAACTATTTATTTTCCGGGATGAAAAGTATCTTATTTTTTTCTAATTTCATTTAAATCGTTTCATGAGTTTCGGAGATTAGCCCGTACAAACAGATAAACAGACAGACGAAAAAAAAATTGAAAAAAATCTGGATTCTCTTCTTAATTCCCCCTGATTCGGTTTATAGCTTTTTTTTTCTATGTACAGACATTTGGCCTCTTCAGTTTTATTATATGTATAGATGAGCAATCGCGTAAATGTAAGCAAGTATAAGGTAATGTAATTGTGTGTTGTAGAATGTGTGGTGGCCGAGCGAGGGACGTGCGGGCGGTCCCGGCGGGCGCGGGGCGACGCACGTGCGCGCGCTGTCGGGCGCGCGGCGCGTGTGCGTGGCGGCGCTCTCCGGTCATCTCACGCTGCTGCGCCTGGACGCGTACAACGCGCAGTCCGGCGCGCACGTCGACTGGCGGTTCAGTACGGCGCATAGACGGAGTATGTGTTTTGTTTAGGCCCTTCTCCCATTACGAAACACGTAGCATACAATAATCAAGTCGCATACTATCTGAATACTTGTTGGCAACTCGACTTTCGCACATTACGCTACTGAAAAGTAACGAAACGCATCATTTGTTTTGTGCTTTTTTAATGAACGGACGAACTTTTTCAAGATGCGCTTACGATACCGGTAGCGTAGTGTGCGAGCACCGGTGTATGTGCGAACTCCGCGGCGATCAGTCTCCGGGACTCGCAAGATACTAGAGTCGCCTGGGCGTATCGTAATGGAAGAAGGGCCTAACGGGTTTATGGATTTTTGTTTTACTGAATAGCTTTGTACGTAAAAAAATTGAGCCTTAATGCTGGAGTAATTTGAATGATATATGTAACTATTAAAGTCACTTTTTCTTATGTTCTGCATCTCTAGTTCTATATCTTCATATTATAATGCTTACATAGATTAAATAAACGTTAAACAATACAAAGGAAATTAGGTACTATGTATGTGCAAGTATTTCTTTACCCATGAACAGAATAGACTAATTTTCGAATTGTCCAATTTTCGAAGAATAATGTTTAAGTGAGATATATGTTTCATAAAGTGTGGATAAATTCTTAATTTGTCCATAAAATATTAAATCTACATTAAAAATGATAAAATCACGATGCACCCCATGATACAATATTCACAAAGATTTAGCTATCTAGTGAAAATTCGTGCTCTTTTCAGGGTATAAATACTTCAAATATTAAGCTATAGCATATATAAAATACATGCTGTAATCTCCGCATAATAAGTGAATTTTAATAAAATTTCTATTTTCTCATTGGCTTTGACGTAAATTGACAAAACAATTATGTCAATTTACATGGAAATCAATGTGAAGTACTTTCTTCAAATAACACAAATTACAAGACTGGTATTTTCTCGCGTGGACCATTACGTGTAGTTAGGCTACTGTTGCAATTGTCCTGCAATTTATGTACACTATCTAATACGTCCATGAGTATTACTTATGCTATTGTAGGCACACACACATATATATACACACACACATCTTTTTTATACTTTTATATTTTTATTAAGACCTTTTTTTAAATAGCCTTTTTTATAAATTACATTTGTAACAAATTTGTAAAAAGAAGAAAGTAGTGTCATTACGACATCAGTAATGTTATATGAATGACTTTTATTTCTATTTTAAATCAAATACATTTAAATAATCTAATATTGCTCCATATTATATAGCTATAGTATTCCTCTTATTTCACAGCACACAAGCGGACGGCTTCCGCTGAGTTGCTCCGAAGCGCACCCGGCATGGAAGAGGACCACAAGGAACGCATGAGCTTCTCGTACGACGCAGATCATAGTGACAATGATGGTATGATATCGTAACTACTAAACAGTATACTTGACCCTCAGAGTATCATACATCAGTAGTATTAATCTTCTATAATATAAAAATGAATCGCTGAATGTGTTGCTAAGCGCAAATCTCGAGAGTAGCTGAACCGATTTCGCTAATTCTTTTTTAAAATATTTCTTGAAGTATGAGGATGGTTCTTACGGAGAGAGAAATCTAAAATAAAATGCCTGAAAAAATAAAAACAACACTTTTTAAATAAAACTATCTTTTCGGATTATTTCGCGGATTTATTGTACTGTAACAACTATACCTTCAAGACATGTGACAACTCAATCTCTCCCGTGACCATGGATGCTGTAAAGCATTCGAAACGTCGTGAACCAAAAATCAAAATAAATCCGCGAAATAATCCGAAAAGATAGTTTTATTTAAAATGTCAAATATTCGCGTAACTTTTCTATACTCCCATACAAAAGATTCGAATAATACTTAAAAGTCAATTTGAACTTTAATACCATATCATAAAGTTTAAGTGTTAGTGGAGAGGTTCCGGGAAGGCAAAACAATTGAGTGACATTAGTATCTTATAAATATTAATATCAATATTTGTCAATATTATTAACAAAAAAATTAAGATTTATATGGCTAACGCTGGCTAATAACAATTTATATCTATTTAAAACGTACCGTACGTGTATTCAGCCCTTTTTATCGTCCCACTGCTGGGCACGGGCCTCCCTTCAGTACGAGGGGAATCAGGCCATAGTCCACCACGCTGGCCAAGTGCGGGTTGGCGGACTTCACATGTCTTTAGAAAACTTGCTAAGTTCTCTCAGACATGCAGGTTTCCTCACGATGTTTTCCTTCACCGTAAGGCAAGTGGTAATCATGTTAGAAATGATTCGCACATGAAAATATCAGAGGTGCGAGACCCGGGATTTGAACCCGCTTCACTCGGTTTCTCAAGCGAGCGCGTTACCACTGGGCTACCACTGTACCGTACCGTACGTAGTTATTGATAAAAAAAAGCTTAAAGCTGTTATGAGGACTGCCGACAGAAGTGGAAACTTAAAACTATAAACAAACAGTCGTTATTTTTGGATATTCAAATTAATTATTTGATCTTAAATTAAAATTTGTAAACTAAAACTGTTTACATTTATCTGGTTTTGACATCTATCGGCACTCTGAGTGTTAGCGTTAACATTTCACGTGACCATGTCGATGATGACTTACCTACATGAATTTACTCCCCATCCTGCTTATAGAAGTTTTCACTTTAATAATTATAATCATAATTTTATTAATCTAAGATAATAAAGTAAGTAATTTTATTTCTCTATTGTGTAATTCAATTATTTACAGTATTTGAATACATATATACAGTTATCAAAACAAATTTCGATAAAATGCTGTTTATTACAATAATTTTATTTTAAATTACTCATACTTTCTGGTATCTGTGTTATCAACTGCTGAATATCGATAATAATAAGAATTCCAATATTGGCCAATTGTGTAAATAAAAATTATTTTACTATATATACAAAATAGTGTCTATAGCTCAATAACGGCTGGACCTAATTGAATAATTCTTTTTTTGTTATGTTGGGGGTTTGTAAGGGTTGGTTTAAGTATACAAAAATTAGGGAACAACCCATAAGAACAGCTAGAAAATCGAAAAGTTCAGAACTGTTTATTTTGTTAGGGAATCACAACTTTGGTCTACTTTGATTACAACAATACGTCAAGTTGGAAAAAAACAATATATGTATATAATAAGTCTATCTATTCCATACTAACCGTTAAAACACACCTAGGGACGAACCTGAACGAAGCGAGGGTAAATTGCTTGTAAGCAATAACTAATCTTAATGTGAGATCGGCAAGAGTTTTAGCGTATTTCATAGAAAAAACTTTAATAATGCTTTAACAAACAATTTCATATGTAATTATAAACTTTTTTATGTTCCTCAGAAGTGGTCTGCGTTCGGATAGCACAATGTAGGCCTCACCAGCAACCAATCACGGAAATGCACTCCGAGGGTGGGAGAATACTCACCGGCGGACAGGATCATGTACTCAAGGTACTAGAATAAGGTATTTTTTGGCCAAATAGCATATCACAATGATGGACTGAATATTGGCACAAATGATGTATTGTTTTTCTTACTGACCAAAGATTGTTTCTATAGAATTTCTAACAAAAATGCGAAAATGGATACTGATAATCTGCTTGCGATTATGTTATCTGTTTAAAATCCATAATAGTAATAATATATATATATATATATATATATATATATATATATATATATATATATATATATATATATATATATATATAATATATATATATGACGTGTTGTATGGAATTTATTTTAATATAATAATTATTTACAATTATGTTAAATGAGCTCTCCTAACATAATAATGTGTTAGTTAACTAATATTTCCCATTCATGTTGATCGTGTAGCTTATATTCTGTTTTATTTTTCGATACAAACGCAACCAATTTGTAATGACAAGTATATGGAGTACCTAATTGTATTAGGATAGTATTTGGATCGTATGGTCACACCCCGCCTTAAACTAAATTTTTCAGTAGCACTTAAGTAATGGACCAATAAATTGATATACTTTAGTGTGACGTCTATATCAATAATAATCCTTATCTCAGCACGACTGTACATCTTTAACTTCATATATGAATTTATTACAATTACTTATATTTTCCTTAATCACCACACCAAAGTGGATTAAATGATGACAACAGAAACTCATGATAAGTCTGTCTGACTGTACATTTTCTTCATTATCTCAAATACAGTAAAGATATACTCGTACAGTATCATTTGCATAAACATAAATTCATATTATTTTAATAATGATCACACAATAATACAAATACACAAAATTTCGCATGGTTGATGATATTTATTTTTCGGAACGTATAATTGATTAGCAACATGCTTTACCAATAAGGTTCTAAAGGCTAGTAGTACCAATATGGATGTAAATAGTTTCGTTATTTCATAAAAATAATAATAATAATAAGGGTTTATAATGTGCAGGTGTTCTCAAGTTCAGAACTAACACCATTATTGACACTTCATGGGCATTGCGGGCCGATCACCAGCTGCTTCATAGACCACGCGACGCCTACCATCGCGGGTAGCGGCTCTCAGGATGGGTTGCTCTGTGTATGGGACTTGCATACTGGTAAATATAAATTATGTATATTTAATATAATATATACTTGCTATTATTTACTTTTAAAGTATTAAAATATTTAATTATAAATTTGGTATATTAATTATTCATTTGTCATGTACCGTAATTCCGTTTTTCCTATTTGCTACTACTTGTAAATTCTTTTATAGATAAAAATAATTAATATTCCATTCGCGTTAAGAAAATAGTGAGTCATAAGTGCAACTGTAGGGTAAAGGTGTATTGATAGTGGAGTAAAAATTTTAATCAAATATATTTCAAAAGATTAAGTTTAATGGATAAAAATCAATTTAATTATCTCAAATAAAAATAGTCATTAATATTATATTTAATCCGTATCTCTAGAGTCTTCGTTTGTATATTTATTATAAAAGAATTAAAATTATTTTAATTGCACAGTTTTCAATTACTTAAAAACATTGTAGATTAATCGTCTTTCTCCGCTATAATTTTTATCGATCCACTTTAATTCTTACGAATAGGTGAGGTATTCGTTTTTAAAATTTATTGTAGGTAACGCAAAAAGGACAAAAGTATTTCGTACGAAAGTCTGCCTTCAACTGACTTTATAATGTTATACGACCTAATTGGTCGGGCGTGGCAAGGCCGATGGACAACGATAACTCCCTATTTTCTTAACGCAAATGAACTATAGTGACTTACACTCGCCTTGCGTTCGTCCCTAGATGTGCAACAGTAGTATATTTGTTACTCCAGGATATAGTCTTATCTATGTAGTGAAATTCTTCAAAATCCGTACAACAATTTCACCATACAGGAGTAACAAATATTCACAAACACAAACAAGCATTTACAATATTGGTCCAATAATTTAAATAATAAACATTACAAATATTTTAAATTTTTAAATCTGTCTGAGTAACCTTTAATTATCTATTAAATCTTGTATTCATTATATTGATATTTTAATTAATTTAAATTCTAAAGTACATTTTCTTACACAACATATTTCGATGCAGGTGCGTGCGTGTACAGTATGCAGGCGCACGACGGCGCGGTGACGTCACTCGCGTACACCGCCTCCTACGTGGTGTCCGCTGGCTCGGACGAGCGACTCTGTATATGGGACCGTTTCCAGGGGCACATGCTTAATTCAATACACATTGTGAGTTATGGTGGCTGCTATTAATCAACTGTTTATTATTTATTTAAGATACCTAGGTATTGTATTTATTGGCATATTTATTAACTGACAAAAAAAGTATATATATAGTACCTGGGCGACCGAGCCTTGCTCGGAGTGTTTGGCCAAAAAAAACATTAAAAAAAAACAAACTAAGACTTTGAATAACTACAAAAAAAAAACAAATTAAAAACTTTATGTCCGACCAGGATACGAACCCAGACACCTGTGGTTGTCAAATTTGCGCATTGGCCGCTTGACCATGATGCTTATATCTGAGCATGCGAAATTATCGAACATAATATTTTGCGTGGAATTATTAATTATTAATTTATTGAAATAATGCAAAAGGAATCATAATAATAATAAAGCTCTATTTATTTATTCATTTATTTATTATAAAGGCTTACTAACTAAATTTACATAAAAACATTTATTTAACATTATAATTTTACCTATTTGTATATAAATTTAATTTAAAAGTATGCACAGCTTTTTATAAAAGTATTCCATTAAAATTTTATTTCGTTAAGAGTATATAAGGAGCCATTCTAGTTGTACAATAAACAAAAGAAGAAAAAAAATCTAATCTAAATATTTAAATACACTTTCTTTTTAAATAAATTTAAACTATCAGAAAAAATGTCTATATCACATTGCTGAAATATAAAATTATATAATTTAGTGACTATTTATTAACTTATAATTTTTTAACTAATAATTTTGTAATCTGGAATTAAATTATTTTAAAAATCTTTAATATTATTTGAAATTATATTGTATATATATAAATTATCATTAACAAATAAATAAACAATGACAGTGAATTAAATAATTCAATTGAGTAAATACTAAACATTTCATTCAACATTACATATAAATAAAATTTCTTTCCATACATTAATTCTGACAATAGTTATAAATTAGGTATTTAATTTCATAATTAAATGTATTTATTTAGTAAATGTCTTTTTCATGTATAGACCCCTCTCGGTTAAAAGCCTCCTCCAAAGTAGTCCTGCATAGAGCTCTCCGTTGGAGATTATGCTTGTATGATTGCAAAGGGTTTCTTTTCAAATTTTGTTTCCAATATATAATTTGTTTCTGAGATGCCTATCAAGTTTATAATTTTATCTTTGTGTTCTTTTGATTTGTTGTAGGAAAGGCTGCTTTTAATTCTAGAAGTTTTTCTGGTGAAGATATGTATTACCTTTGTTCATTGTATGTCTGTTTATCTTTGGAGGGTTACGGTCGACCCGGGGGAGAAGCCAACTCCTACCGGGCGCGTCCCCAGGTGGCGGATAGGGGAATGCCACCCGCTTAGGGCGGCGGGTGGTACCGGAGAAATCCGGCGCGGACCAAATGGCTTGGGTGGGGCCGCTCGTCTAGGCCTCGAGCCGAAGACGTTGCGGCCACCGGTGGTGGGACCGCTTGGTCCCACAACCGGATGATGGGTGCCGGTTGCGGGACTGTGGTCGCAGGCCCGCATTCGGCGGAGGGGTAGGCCGCGGCGGGAGAGGAGTGCCGGTATTTCGGTGCGCCGTTCTCCCTACCTTCCGCGGCCTAGACGGGGCCGCCACCGTTTGATGGCGGACGCGGTGGGGCTGCAGGGGAAGAGGAGTGTCGGTGTTTCGTTGCCGCTCTCCCTGTCCTCTGCAGCCGATTGAAGGTGGCCCACTTCGGTGGGCGGAGTTTCGGTTTAATGGGGCTGCTCCGGGTACCTCTCTGGTGTAGCAGAGTTGACTGTGGAGCAGCCCCATCGGTATGGTGGTCAGCCGTTGGCAGACCTGCCGCCGGGGCGCCGTAGTAGTTATGCGCAAGCGATCCTGCGGCGTCCCATTAAGGCGGAGGGGAGGGGAATGTCGGGTTTTAGTGGGTAGTGCCGGCTCTTCTAGCCGGTGAGCCCCACATCACCACCTGGGGGATCAGGTGGTATGCGTAAATGCATTTCCCGACATAAAAAAAAAAAGGGTTACGGTCGAACTCCCCCACAGTGACCGGCCGTACTGGGGGATAAAAATGAGGAGATTCCTACTGTGTTAATATACTGTATCTTGCTGTGTTGTTTTTAGTTCTTCCTGGTTATCATTTGTGTGGTTGAAAGTTAATTTTGGTTTTTGTAATATAAAGTCTTTAATATTAGCAGGTTTGGTTTTCTTTGTATGTTGTTTATTTGTTAGTTTTTGTTTATAATTGAGGTAAGGCGTTTCTGAAGATACAGGCAGACTTCTTATATTTGAGTATTGGCGAGAAGTGTTCTTATTATTATCCACAATAATTCGTTTGTCATATTTAATGAAAGCTGTTTCGCCTAGGTCTTTTTCTTTATCTTCAGTTGGGCTTGTAACTCCTTGCGTTTGTTTAAGACTTTATTTTTACCTCTAGTTCATGATAGGATTTTTCACCTTTTTCTACTCCGAACATAACCAAGTTCTTGCGCCTAATATGTCTTTCTAAATTATTTATTGAGGATTTTTTTATTTCTAAGTGTTTAAATTTCTCATTTAAGTATATTATTGTTGATTGTATTTTTAATGTCTTCTTTCATTTCTAACATTTCTGTTTTCTGCTGTCTTATTTCTTGTTGTATGTTTATTAGCAACTTTTTTATCTCCTCCATCTTAAGTGTGAAGTCGGAAATAGAAAAGCTGATTGAAAAAGAGCACCAATTATACCTAGTTGAATTGCAATTATATACAGAGTATTAGTTTTTGAGGTTATAAACTTATGTTTTAATATTTTACGCTTCCACTTCACAAATTATTTTGTTTTATTGTCATCACACACAGAAAAGATGGTTTTGCACTAATAGTATCTGTATGTTATGTTTCTCACTTTTGTATTTGTTTGGTAGGTGAATTTTTAAAAGCTCATTTGTTCTTCAACACATCAAGACTTGGTGATGTGTACATATTTCCCATAGGTTTTATCGATTAATATTTCTTAAAATTATTATTAAATTAATTAGAATTTACCATTTTCTTTAGATTATTTCCACTTAAATATTTTTAAACTTGATGTAAATACGGACACGATATTGACAGTTGTTCAGTGGCGCCTCCCACCCACCAGAAGTGACACTGACAACTGACAATGCAAAAATTGTGAAAATGCAAAAGAAAACCGCATGAAAATTCGAAAACACGCGTTTTTCCAGACATAAGACTAATCTAGATCGATTTATCGCCCCCGAAACCCTTTGTATACTAAATTTCATGAAAATCGTTGAAGCCGTTTTCGAGATTCAGATTATATATATATATATATATATATATATATATATATATACAAGAATAGCTCGTTTAAATATATAAGATATATATATATATATTCAACTGCCTCGGTGGTGTAGTGGCTAGCATGTAAGGCTGCACACCCGGAGGTCCTGGGTTCGAGTCCCGGGTCGGTCAAAGTTTAGTTATTGAGTCTTCCTGTATAGTAAGTCTCAGTAACAGCCCGGAGTTGGGAAGTTGGCGGTGCTTCACCCCCGTGCCTCGGAGAGCACGTAAAGCCGTCGGTCCTGCGCCTTAACTCTCACTGGTCGTGTCTCGTGTCGTCCCACCGGAGTATGAGAGTGACAGGAATAGAGAGTGCACTTGTGTCTGCGCGTACACTTGAGCACTATAATATCTCCTGCGCAGTTGGCTAATCTCATTGAGATTGGCCGCCGTGGCCGGAATCGGCTAGGATAACATCATATATATATATATATATACTTATATATAACTTCGACACGTATGTTTACTATTTAGTTTTTCTTTTTTATGTTTAATCATAATCACACATCCGATTTCGATTATTCTTTTTCTTTTTTTATTGGATGATATACCCTACTATACCTTAAAGTTGGTCCCATTTAAACTTAAAAAAAAAACACACACACATCCTTTTAATACATTTACATTTTTCATTTAGACCATTTGTTTTATAAATTACGTTTTCGACAGATTTTAATATAAAGTAAAAGCGTGATATTACAATTATATGCACTAGTTTTAGTTTTATTTCAATAAAATAAATTAAAATAATCTAATATATCTGCAACGACCATAAATATAATTTATGTATTTTTCGCCTACTGAATTTTTACAATATTTTCTTCTTATTTTGCTACTATGTACTATGTCTACACTAAAAATGGAAAAATAGAAGCTAAACAAAAAAACAAAATTCGACCTCAAAAAAAGCACTAAAAAGTAACTAGGAGTTTTCATTATACTATAGATACCTACCTAATCAGATGTTTTTGTAGTCGGTGTGCTTTTATTTGTATCGGCTGCTTCTTTTATTGAAGTTGATTTTTATTGTATTTAAAACTTAAAGTAAACATCAGTACGGTAAGTCCGTGAGGAATCTACCACCGGTTCGGAAGGTGGTTTCTGAAAAAACCGGCGAGAAACTCAACAGTTTCTCTTTTTAATAATATTAGCTTCGAAATCGTTCGATTTAAGTAATTCTTGTATTTGACGGCGTTTCCGTTAAAATCAAAGGTCGAACGCCTTCTGTATGAATTTTTATATATTAGTAGCTATATAAGGTGACACATGGAAATCTAAATATATTTTTCCTTTGGGATTTAAAATGTTGGTGATTTTGCTCAGGGTCTCAACTACATGAGCCGCATGCTGCCGTTGACTCACACGTTACTTGTGATGGGTGACAGGAGCGGCCTCACTGCTTATGACTTAAGTAGTGGTGACGTCATAAGGAGAGTACTATTCGGTAAATATAAATTATGAAGTATAACTATTATATACATAAAAAACCTTGTAAATTATGTCGTTTTTGCTGATTTTTTTTTGCCTATTAGTCCAATTTACTCACAGCTGTTTTAACTATTCGTTGGGCTAATAGTTTAATCCTAATAGCATGGAATCTTATCACTAAAAAAAACTTTAAATAAATGTCAATAGATGACTTTACATATTATATGGATGTTTTATTAAAATTGTGTTAAAAAACATGTAATTGAAAAAAAAAATTAAACTATAAAATTCAATCGATACGGTTGAAACTATTTTAATATATTTTTGTTTTCAATTTCGTTTAACCAATCCTGCTTTAATTAACGAATTTTTACAGTGCTTTAATAACTAATTAATATGATATTATGTTTTATAGTTTTGATCTAATGCTGAATCATATTTATATCCCATACAATTCCAGGTCAAAGCGACGGCTGTATCTTCGTACGACAAATTCTACCGCTCAAAGACGCTATAGTGTGCGACTACGCTAACCAACTGCGCATAGTACGTTTCCCACTTGTGTCTAAACTCGACATGAAGAGTGAATAGCAGAGCCTAATAGATAAACTGTTCATAGTTTAAACATGAACGAACATACACACACCTTATATAAAAGACGGTTAGTGTTTTAAACAATGAAATATCTCTTGTATGTAGTAGTATAGATGATTCATACGTACTACATTCGACTCATACATACTCATTCATACGCAACGGTAGACTTCCCGAGTGTCTTATAGAAATTTAATACACATATTTATTATACGAATAGTGTACTTACATGTACTGATTGTTATATAAATGTATACTTTGAATCATTTAAATATATCTTGGTAACAATCATACTTGGTCATACGACATTTTTACTATATTCTTAGATATGTATGTATTATGTTATTTTGTACTATAATAACACGTTAGTTAGTGATCCGGGATACAAGAATAACATTAAAAATAGATCACTATAACGAAACTGTATAATCTTATTGAAAATATTAAAGTTTTGTATGTAATACATGTATTTAATCATTGTGTATATATTTAATTGGTAAAATTACTAGATATGACAGATGCGAGGCAATGTCAGTAAGAAAACTGAATGATTTGATTGTACATCGTGGTTATTTATTAAGGTAAATGGTTCAATTTCAAAACTGTAGTCTATTTTTTATAAGCTTAAGTGATTTCAGGTGAATGGTTGAATAATGTGTATCTGAATTTAAAAGGAAGCCTACATCCAGCTCATACTTTACGGTAGCAAAGAGTGACTATATTCACAATATAGTATCTATGCATAATGTTGTGATATTTATTATGTAAAAATTAAGCATTATATATTATAATATATAAAATTGTATATATCAAAGAAAGGCCCTTTTGTCTAATATTTTAAACGATAAGAAATTGATATTACTGTAGCTAAGTGTTATTTAACAATACATACATTACTGTGAAGCGTGAAATTTAAATACCGTTGAGCGTGAATAATTTTATCAATGTAATTGTCACACTGAATATCTCACTTAGACTTTAATTCGACATATGTATGGAAATTTTGCTTAAGTTTTAAATAACGTCACTTCAATATAAAGACATAATAACAACAGTTTGTCATCAAATCGTCATCTCATAACTATTGTATAACCCATTTCGTTAATTAAAGACATAATTTTACATACTATAAAAAAATAATTAGCGGATTTTAACATCGTTACTCTTCGTTGGTGTACATCGTTTCATCATTCAAAAAATATGTATAAACAATGCATGTTTAATTGTGTTGCACACAAAATTATGAACTCTCATATATTTATATGTAAAAACTCTTATGGTAATTCTTGTTCAAAGTTAAACGTAGGAATAAGAAAGAGTATAACTGCAACTTACTCTTTGCTATACAGATGCACCTGTACAGTACACACCCACACCACACGGAGAATAAAATTATTGCTATATTATCCCATATATCTTTAAAAAAATATGTACGATTAGATTTATTAGGTATGCACACGACTCATGCCTCATATTTGCAATAAATGCTAACTGCGCAAAATTGGCTTAACTATTTAGTTTTTATAAGAAATCAGACATATATTTATTTACAAGGTGTTGTATTTATCGTTTTACTATGCTGTAAAGTCCCCAAAAGTATACAATTATTACATTTGTTTATGCAAATATTGGAAATAAGAATTATGTATGTACTTCGGTTATAATATATCAAAAGTTTATTATTACTGGAGTCGCTAAAGTTCGAGATTAGGCCACTTTTGGACTGAAAAAACTGTGACTATGATTCTTGAAATTATTACAAATAAAAAATTATTGAAAACCTTCATTATTGACATGTAAAAGAAGAATTAAGAGGATTATATTTTATATGAATTTGCGGAAAGTTATTTGTTGTCACATAATATCTATTTTTATTATCCTCAAGATATATTGTCATGGAAAGATCATCTCCCGTTCCTTTGTTCTAATTTGACCATTATAAAATACGAATATTCTGAAAATAAAACATGTTTTATGTATATTTTCGAGTATCACGACTTTTCTAATTAGAAAATGTTTATTCAAAATAAACTTTCTAACTTTGTTTATGTATATTATTGTTAAGACCTTTATAATATTTTCAATTTTAGAAGACTGTAGAATCTGCGTGCTAAAATATAATTTTTCATAGCACTACGTGACCGAAACCCGCATTTAAGTAACCCTTTAACAGTGACTTATATTTTATTATATGTCAACAAGTATCTTTTTGGTCAACTTTTTTCAGCAGTCCCAGAAAAATATGAACGAGGTATCATACGATTTGGAATGCCATGTAGATGATATTTGAAGTTCCGTTTGTCCCTAGGGACCTTTTAACGGTTAGTATAGAATAGACAGACTATACATTAGTAGGTATATTTATATACACGAGAATGCTGAGTTTTATATCCCTTACTTCAGAAATAATTGATTCCCCATACAAACTTTCATCCCCTTTCTTCTTAGGGATGGTATCCAGAATAAAAACTGTCCTATATCCTTCCCGGGGTCTCAAACTATCTTTATATCAAATTTCACCTAAATATGTTCAGTAGATATTTAGTTTACCCATTACAAACATAAAAAAATTTTCTGTTTATAATATTAGTATAGATAAAAATGCTTATTGCGGGTGTACCTTAGGAGATAGACATATTATGCTATTGCGGATTCTTCTGTAGGCCTTTTTAAGACCTACAATTTTCTAGTACATTGTTTTGATGTTTGTCTGGTTTAGCCAGTGTTAGCCATATTAAGCTCGATTCAATAGAACCAGTTATTGTGTTTCCAGTGGGAATGAAATATTTTCCTCTAGTTAAAGGTATCCTAAATGTTGTCCCGTGTAAGAGGTTTTCACTACAAAAAAATTTGTTAAAATCGGTTCAGTACTATTTGCATGAAACGCGCACACCCAAACTCATACAGACAAAAATTTCAATAACCATGGTTTTCGGGTCTATATTCTGTATACAATACGTTACAGTCATTGTTTTTAAAATATATTTCATTTCGCTAAATTACTATTTTATTAAATGTATAAATTATAATAATAAATTAAATCAGAAATCAATACATTGTAGACTCGTTAAAATTGGTGATGAGAACATTTCTTCTAACGATATAATCACCATTTAGTCTGCATAATATTTAAAAAAGCTCAGATCAAGTCTTTTAAATATGACTTACTAGCATTGCCCGCGGCTCCGCCCACGTTCAGATGACAAAAAAACAAATTCTTAGGTTTTACATATTAGTATACTCTTACATTGCAGTTTTTGTATTATGTCTCAAGAAATGAGACATTTTTCGCGGTAAAAAGTATCCTATATGTTGACCTGGATAACCAGCTATCACCATACCAAATTTCATCAAAATCCCTCCAGTGGTTTTTCTGTGATGCGGTAACATACAGACAGACAGACAAAAATTCTAAAAACTATAGATTCGGCCTCTGTATCGATAATAATGTCTATTTCAATAAGATTTTCCAAAAAATATTTAATGTACAGATTCTGCTTAGTTATAATTTTATTTTATATATATATATATATATATATATTTTCAATCTATTTCAAATCTATATATATATATATATATATATATATATATATATATATATATATATATAGATTTGAAATGAGATATTTGGTACATGTACTAAACAAATGTACAAAACAGTGCATAATATTGACAAAAAGTACTATCACTATCCTTTAAAATATTCTAATGCTGAAAAGATAAAATTAGAGCATTATATTTTCTTAAAAGTTCATGTACATACATAAAGTTATATTTTAAAAGCTTTAATATACGAATCTAAAAATTTCAATAAATAACCTAGTCTTTTGGAATTGATTAATAAATGCTATCAATTTTTATATTTACACAAGCTTAAAGTTCACAATAATTTTTTTTTTCAATTATTAGGAATGTTATTGAAAAAAAGGATTTTAGTTATATTTTAGATACACTTAATTTTCCTTTTTAAAAGTTAAAGATTTTGTTCTAGGGTAGTTGTAGCCATGGTGCTTTTAATACTTATTTCGTGTTAGTTCGTTATAAATAAAACAAATCATATGTAGCAGATCTATATTTGCTTCGCCTTGTTTTTATTCTTATGACATGTATATCAGGTGCATAATTTTATTTGTCGTGACTTATTTTTTTAAAGGAAACTTTAATTATTTATACAATGACTTAGTCTATGCTCTCCTTCACTAAATCGGTATGTTCTTCCGAGTTTATCTTTTTTTCTCCAGATTCTTTTGTGTTGTTTTCTAAATTTAAACATTTGAAATTCAAGTCAAGATTTTCAATAGACTTGCTTTGTTCTTCTACTGTGTTTCCTGCTTCTGCCGATTTTTGCTGAGCGCTTGCACCTCCACATTCCGCTTCTGTCATTTCATGTTTTTTCGAAATTTCCGAAGATTTTGTAATTTTATAATCTTTAGGAAGATTGTCCGCACGCCGGCGACTCCCAATAATATTAGAGGAAATACCTGTGATATTCATTTCTTCTATTTCAGTTGCTATTGATGCATCTGTAATATTTGAAAATTCGAATTCATATTCCTCGTTTCCGATTTCTAAATGTTCATTCGCGAAAGATGATGGTCCTTCACCAGTTTCATGAGCTGACTTATTTTTGTATCCGGTTTTTACAGTTTTTGGAAGTACATATTTATAATTCACACCTTTGTATGGTACTCTTCTTTTAGTAATTAGTTTTTGCCATGTTATTGTCCCTTGGCAATTATTCTCCTCTTCACTGTGGGGTGAAATATCTGGTGTGCTTAAGTATTCGAACTCTCCATAACCAAAAGGTCTCCTTTTTACAGTGTTCCCCGCGCAGGAACTTGCTCCTTGACAGATTTCATATTCTATTTCAATATTAGTATTTTGTTTAGTTTCCTCTGGTAAAGCAGTAGCCCCTAGACAGCTTTCATCTTCTATCGGTGAAATGTCAACAGTATGTGGACATTCGAATTCATGACCAAGGCGTTTTATTGTAATATAGAATTCAAATCCAGAACTCAGAAAATTTTCAATATCTTTAACCCAAGCTTGATTATTATAATTTGCAGATTTACAAAATATTGTAGTTAAAGGTATATTCAAGGCTTGTTTTGACATATATTTCATTTTACTTACTGCAAACTCTTCGTCTCTCCCCCAATCCACAAGCTGCAGGATTGCTGTTGATTCTAGTTTTGTAACCTTTTTAATGATAGCCCTATGGTACATATTCTTTTCATCGTCTTTTGCACAAATTATTGCACCTTCTATCAAATGAGCGGGAATGAGTGAAAATTCTCTTCTGGCATAGAATGTTATATTGTGTATGTCTTTTAAGAATAATTTTTCGTAGTCCTCTACCTCTTTTACATAGAATTCTTCAAATGACCTACCTGACAACATCCTCACCCGTAATCTTTCATTCATAAAAACTTTTTTAAAGTTAAATGTGATTCTTTTGCGTACAATAAGAGGTTTCCAAGGTATGCAATCATAATAGGAGCCTACATCAGAGAATCCGCTTATAGCTAACAGTGTAGCGACGTCATCTAGATTAGAATTCATTAATTTTACTACTAATTTACTAGACGTTCTGCCTAAAACTGACATTTTTACTCGACCACGTCCTAAATGACGTCTAAAAACTTGTGTCGCATATTCTGTCCAAATACTAGTGCGCACTGGGAAGCAATTTGCTAGCTGGCTATTGTAAGCAAGTGCTGGAGTATTCAGTAAGTCAGGTGAACACTGCCAAAGGTACTCTATAGGCACTGATTTATCAGTAAAGCCGTGATCTATAGTGAATATATCACATTCCACATGATCATTAACAATATTTATTTGAGAAACTCGACCTCTTCTAAAGTAGTTACTCTGGCCAAGACGAAAACTTAGATTATAGATTACCATATCGTTAATTTTTATAGTCGTAAATTTAGTACTAGGAGTCATTGTTTTGTATGATGCAACTAATTTATTGTACTTTATTGGACGCACATAAAAATTTATTGGGGTAACTACATGTACGACATCTACCCAATGCAGCGATTCCGATTCGAAATTATTAAGTGCTAATTCTGCTAACAATCTTTCAATATTGTCCATTGTATTCTAGAGAAATAAAAAGATACATTGTAAATATTAGAATATACATTATAGTTCATATGAAATTTAAGCATTACATTAATTACAAATAGCTACCAAAACTGTTTGTTTATCTTTTGGTACTTACTTTTAATTATAATTAGTGTTCACTCATAAAGGTATAATTTAATTTACATAATTCATCTCAGAAAACTATGGTAGCTGAATGTAATATAATTATATATTTAATTTGACATTGATAAGCAAAACAAAAGAAATTGTAAACATTTTAGCACTGCCAGAAATAAAATTCATACCATAAAAACTTAGAAATTTATAAAATACAAATGAATTGAGTGTACATTTAAGACTAAACAACAGGTTTATGTTCAAGTAGGGAAGAAAATACAATAAATCTCATAAAAGACCTGCACATGCTTTTATAAACAAAACAGTTTTAATAATATATAACTACTTACATACCTACTATACACACAAGTTAACTTATATTAACTGCCTCTGTGGTGTAGTGGCTAGCATGTATGGCTGCACACCCGGAGGTCTTGGGTTCGAGTCCCGGGTCGGGCCAAGTTTAGTTATTGAGTTTTTCTGTATAAGTAAGCCTCAGTAACAGCCCGGAGTTGGGAAGTTGGCGGTGTTTCACCCCCGTGCCTCGGAGAGCACGTAAAGCCGTCGGTCCTGCGCCTTAACTCTCACTGGTCGTGTCGAGCAGTCGTCCCACCGGAGTATGAGAGTGACAGGAATAGAGAGTGCACTTGTGTCTGCGCGTACACTTGAGCACTATAATATCTCCTGCGCAGTTGGCTAATCTCATTGAGATTGGCCGCCGTGGCCGGAATCGGCTAGGATAACATCATATATATATATATATATACTTATATATAACTTCGACACGTATGTTTACTATTTAGTTTTTCTTTTTTATGTTTAATCATAATCACACATCCGATTTCGATTATTCTTTTTCTTTTTTTATTGGATGATATACCCTACTATACCTTAAAGTTGGTCCCATTTAAACTTAAAAAAAAAACACACACACATCCTTTTAATACATTTACATTTTTCATTTAGACCATTTGTTTTATAAATTACGTTTTCGACAGATTTTAATATAAAGTAAAAGCGTGATATTACAATTATATGCACTAGTTTTAGTTTTATTTCAATAAAATAAATTAAAATAATCTAATATATCTGCAACGACCATAAATATAATTTATGTATTTTTCGCCTACTGAATTTTTACAATATTTTCTTCTTATTTTGCTACTATGTACTATGTCTACACTAAAAATGGAAAAATAGAAGCTAAACAAAAAAACAAAATTCGACCTCAAAAAAAGCACTAAAAAGTAACTAGGAGTTTTCATTATACTATAGATACCTACCTAATCAGATGTTTTTGTAGTCGGTGTGCTTTTATTTGTATCGGCTGCTTCTTTTATTGAAGTTGATTTTTATTGTATTTAAAACTTAAAGTAAACATCAGTACGGTAAGTCCGTGAGGAATCTACCACCGGTTCGGAAGGTGGTTTCTGAAAAAACCGGCGAGAAACTCAACAGTTTCTCTTTTTAATAATATTAGCTTCGAAATCGTTCGATTTACCAGAAGTGACACTGACAACTGACAATGCAAAAATTGTGAAAATGCAAAAGAAAACCGCATGAAAATTCGAAAACACGCGTTTTTCCAGACATAAGACTAATCTAGATCGATTTATCGCCCCCGAAACCCTTTGTATACTAAATTTCATGAAAATCGTTGGAGCCGTTTTCGAGATTCAGATTATATATATATATATATATATATATATATATTATATATATATATATATATATATATATATATATATACAAGAATAGCTCGTTTAAATATATAAGATATATATATATATATTCAACTGCCTCGGTGGTGTAGTGGCTAGCATGTAAGGCTGCACACCCGGAGGTCCTGGGTTCGAGTCCCGGGTCGGTCAAAGTTTAGTTATTGAGTCTTCCTGTATAGTAAGTCTCAGTAACAGCCCGGAGTTGGGAAGTTGGCGGTGTTTCACCCCCGTGCCTCGGAGAGCACGTAAAGTCGTCGGTCCTGCGCCTTAACTCTCACTGGTCGTGTCGAGCAGTCGTCCCACCGGAATATGAGAGTGACAGGAATAGAGAGTGCACTTGTGTCTGCGCGTACACTTGTGCACTATAATATCTCCTGCGCAGTTGGCTAGTCTCAATGAGATTGGCCGCCGTGGCCGGAATCGGTCAGGAGAACATCATCATCATACACACAAGTAGGGGAGAAAATACAATAAATCCACTTACACATGCTTTTATAAACAAAACATAGTTTTAATAATATATAACTACTTAAATACTATACACATATTTAACAAATTATATATTACTGTTAAATAGGTAGGTATTGCGAATTAAAAATAACACCAGCGTCACTAATTATTTCTAAAAACATACTATAAACAATGAAAGGCCACGACATGAAAAATTATTTTGACAGTTAATTACCCAGGTCAATTCGCCAGGCCAATAAATTAGAATGGAATGAATGATCTCTCTTGACTAATTTAATTAAATATTAACTGGAATCGAATTATTAAACCTAAAAAACACCATATAAATATTAATAAAAATTTGTAAAGTAATATAATCAATAATATAAAACCAGTACTGAGAGTATGATCGACGAGAACTCTTTATCGAGACTACACTAGCACTGGCCACTGCATTGTTAAAATCAATCACCGATATAATATACCGTTGCATAGTATATACGTCCCTGCTCTTCTGATGTAGCTACCTATCTTATACCTATACAAGGAACTACCTGTAAAGCTCCGCTCCGGGACGGCCGACGGGGCAGTCGATCAATACTCGTACTTTCCAATTCAGAATGTTGCTAGTAATATTTTATTGCCAGACTTAATGATCGATCATGGAGTGCCTATAAGATAGCTCACTTTATTAGTCACCTTTATACAATTGATATAATAGTTGAAATTATATAATTATGAAAATAGAAATCCAAATTACTAAATTTTCGCATTTCATGCACATTATAAACTTCTGTCGTTCTTGAATATTAAAGAGATAACAGTGACTATTTGAGTTGCATATGACTTAGTCTCTGATTTTTAATAATGGTCCAAGATCAAGAAAGGTAGGCAATAATATAACTTACTTTTGTTAAATTCGAAGCGCTGATATATGTTTCATAGAATATCATGAAAAATAAATATTTCATTGCCAGACCTTTTCTGTGGGTGATAACTTCCGTTAGATGCTTTAGGTAAATCTCATAAAAAAATTATGAAACTTGATAAATTCGAAGTTTTCAATTTTATATATAATACTTGGAGACTATTTTTTTTCATTTTGTAGACAGACGGACCAATCGGAAGGGCCAAACATTCCCCCAGACACAATAGAAGTTCCGCTGTAAGTAAGAGCGTAAAGGATTTTTTCAATATTAATTTCATAATATCTTAATGTTTTATTGTAAAACTATTGACAGTCCAGTAAATTCGTAATTCGTATAGAAGTTTAATAAATGAAAGCTTTTATTAACTTTGGATTTCTAAATTTTTAAAGGAAATTAGTAAAAGTAAGTATATATCTAATATATTTAAACGAGCAATTCTTGTATATATAATCTGAATCTCGCAAACGGCTCCAACGATTTTCATGATCTTTAGTATACAAGGGATTTCGGGGGCGATAAATCGATCTAGATTAGTCTTTTGTCTGGGAAAACGCGTATTTTCGACTTTTCATGCGATTTTCTTTTGCATTATTCCACGCAAAATATTATGTTCGATAATTTTGCACGCTCGTATATACGCATCATGGTCAAGCGGCCAAGGCGAGAGATTGAATAAGTGTCCGGGTTCGAATCCCGGTCGGATACAAAGGTATAATTTATTTTGTTTTAAAAAAAAAAAAGGAAATTGTACATTTGACCAATATATATATATATAGTACCTGGTATATATATATATATATATATATATATATATATATACATAGGTGTAATAATAATAATAATAATAACTTTATTTCATTTAACAACAAGTACATGATAGTATACAAGGTTGAAACCCTCTTTTAAGTAACAATACCTGTGACAGAGGATTTCGCTCTTCCATAAATAGTAAGTTTTAGCTTAATTAGTTGACATGAAATAATTTAACGATACAGTTAACTAATTGAGAAAAAGTATGTTACAAACATATAAAGAAAAATATATATTCTGATATTTTAGTAATTATAAAAGTGTGATTTATTTGTGGCGTGTGTATGAGTGAGAGTGTGTGAAATTTTGTATGTATCTCTGTGCGTGTCGTTTTGTGTGTGGTGTGTGTGTGTGTGTGTGTGTGTGTGTGTGTGTGTGTGTGTGTGTGTGTGTGTGTGTGTGTGTGTGTGTGTGTGTGTGTGTGTGTGTGTGTGTGTGTGTGTACGTATGTGAGTGTATGTATGTGTTGCGTAGTTGAGTTAGTGTTAGTGTGTTTACACTTTGCATATTAAGGTCTAAATCGTCAAATGGGATTTTTTAGAAGTTCTTCTGTTTTATCATAATCAAGGGTCAAGAGGAATTTTGTGACTTTCTTTTTACATTCGTGATATTGTAACGGGTAGATATTTAAGGTTTTATTAATTTTATTATAAATAAGTGCCGACAGGCTTTCAAATTGTCTCGACGCAAAAATAGTTTTTGTGGGATTACTAATTGCAACTACATATTTCCTTCTAGAGCTAAGAGTGTTAGGGTCAACATTTATTTGCTTGTGTAGTCTCAGTACCATATGAAGGATGAATAATTGCCTTACAGTTAGTGAGCCTGTAATGGAGTAAAGTGATTGCGTCGAAAATCTACGTGGCTTAAAGAACATGACTTTAAGTAGACATCTTTGAGCTCTTTCTACTTCCTTGAATTTAGTTTTTGACCCGTTTCCCCAGATAGGTATACCGTAAGTTAGGATTGGTTGAGCTAAGGC